ATACTGCGCGACCTACCCGAAAAGCACTACTCACTGTAGCTTATCCTTCCACAAAATAAACGTTGAGAGCACACTTTGATTTTGTTTCAATTCAGTTTGCAGAAGCACGTGAAGAGCGCGTCCGACGTGGAATACCCCGCGTACGGCGTAACAGGACCAAATAAGGACATATCACCCTCAGGGGACAGGAGGCTGGCTCAATCCGCGCAAATGTACCATTATCAGCACCAGAAGCAGCAGATTATCGCGATGGAGAGGTGAGTTGCGGTACTAGTTAACCGATACCACAATACTGTCGTTCTTCTTGCAGAGCCGCAGCGAGCGAGAGGCATGGATCGGTGTCGGAAGCTGATAGCGATGAGGAAAACGAAGAGGGGGATTACACAGTTTACGAGTGTCCAGGATTAGCTCCGGTAGGTAATGCATTTTTTTCTTACGTGGCGTAGTGGAGCACATGCTTAACTACGACACTGATGGTTCCTGGTTCGAATCCGGGTTTGGGAATGGATTTTTTTAAGTGATCGAAACCACGTCCATTTAAAAATAGATAAAAAGGAATAAATCCTTTCGTGGTCTCATCATGCATCGGCATCAAATTTTCATATTCTAAAAGTCCATCATTTTTAACATTCTATGATTTAAAGATTACAAACATCCAGAGCCCAAGATAAAAAAAGCAAATGTCTCTATACGGGTTTAATGTTTCAAGAATTGCATATACCAACATACCAAATCATCAAAGTACATGGTTTATAATGTTCCAGATATTTCAGATACCTATTTTGGAGTTAACGGGAGATCCCCAATATTCCGACACCGTATAACCATCTAAGATATCATTCAATTACCAGGAATCTGATACTCCAAGATTTTAGGAGCTTGAGCCTAAAATAATTTCCTAAGATGTGTATTTCGAAACTCCCAAATTTCTAAATTCCAAGATTTCAAAAAAATTCCATTTTTTTACGAGTAAAAACAATAAAAGATGCTCAAAGGTTTAGGTTATAAGCTTTCACGATTGGCAATGGTGCTACCATTTCAATTGTGCAATTTTTGAAATTCTGAGATAATCCTTTAACATCATGATTAAGATCTCAATGTCCCAAGATTCTAATATTCCAACACCATACTTCTATATTCCAATATTCGCATATTTTCATATTCCCATGTTCCCATATATTCCTATATTTCCATATTCCCATATTCCCATATTCCCATATTCCCATAATCCCATATTCACATACTCTCACACTCCTATGATCGCATATTTCTATATTCCCACATTCCCAAACACACATGCTCTAATGCTTCCAGGCTCCCCAAGTCAAATATTTCATTATTCACTTGTTCTCATAAATCTACTTTTATACATACACTCCAATAATTCGGTACCTCAAACCTCAAAATTCCAGCTTTCCGGCCCGTGCGGCCGCAGTTTAGTTGAAGCTGGACGGCGGTACTAAGGGTCCCTGGTTCGAATCCGGGTTCGGGCATAGATATTACTAAATATATAGTGAGTTGGGTTGGTAGAGCAGCCTTGGCTGAAACTCCGCCCACTCAAAAATAAAGGCAAAATAAAGAAATAAATAAATAATAAAAAGAATTTAAGATACAAAAAAATATAGGTTTCAATCTTTGA